TACATAAAATGCCTCTGACATATATTTGGCAAAATGCAAACGTTTGCAATAATTTAACAGTTTGTTATTTTTGTGAACTTATACATATCATTGTGGTTTAACCATTAGTAATGACTGTAGTTTATATGTATATCTTACATTTGTGACAAAAGTATTTTCTCTGTTTATTGCATTAGTTTAGTAATTAGTTTCACTAACGGTATACTTTTCTGCTAAGGATATTTTATGTGAAATTACTGTCATATATTATTCAGATGTTTACCATAGTCATATCAATGTACTTTTTTATCTTTTGTCTGGTTTCACTTTTTGATGAATTACATTAAACTTTTAACAAAAATAGTTACAAACATTATTGTCATGGTGGTTTTCAAATGTTTAACCCACATGCAGAGCCACACTCAGAGGCATGGAAAAAGTTTAACAGTTTATTCAAATGAGAGGGCTCAGAGAGACAAAGACAAAACAGTAATTTTCTCAGTCAGGGAAATATCCTGTGGTCTGGTGAACCGGAAGTGGAATCTTTAGGAGGAGATCAGAGTGGTGAGTTCAAGGTCCATAGGAAATTACTGGTCGATACAGAAAAAGTTGCCTGATCAGAACTTACTGTAGTGGTTAGCAGTTGCTCCTTGGTTCCTGTTTGTGGGGGGCTTGTTCTCAATAGGTGATTACTTGCTGGAGGGCGGACAGGCAGACTTAAGATGGTCCAGAGGAGTAGCGGAGCAGACTGTCAATAGCATTACTGAAGTGGACGGCGTACTGATCAAGTGAATTGTTACTTTTCCTCAGAGAGACGAACGAAATCCTTCCAAGGCTTGAAGGTCCAGGCTTATCCAGAGGATTTGGGGGTTATCCTGCCGGAGACCACAAAAGAGACAAAAGGTTAGAAATTGGTGACTCAGAGAGACAAAAACTCAAAGATTAGACTCAAATAAACTCAGAGGGGCTAGAGTACCCAATACTGGCAAACGCTCTGGTGAGGAGATGGTGACAGCCTGCTGCTCAAATACTGCTCAGACAGTGATGACCAACGGGCTGCAGGTGTGAGTAGTTGAGAGCAGGAAGAGGCCCTCCAGGCCAACAGAGGAACCATGGCACCATCTGGTGGATGCATGGAGACACTGAAAAGAGAGCACAAAATAACCCCCACAAACTGGAACCCTAACAGTTATAAGATACAAAAATATCTTTTCAAATTGTGGGTTATTTTTATTATCTTTCTGTGAGGAAAGAAAAACTTTATTTGATCTGATGTGAAAAGTAGTCATTTCAAACCTATAGTAAAATGGAGAAAAAAAGGAGATCATTCCTCTTTCTTGTCAGAATGGAATCAGATTTTAAAGTCACAAACAAGGAGTTGTCAGCTATTCAGTTGGTAATAAAAGAATAAAACTGATTTGCTTATGGCTTGTGGTTGTCAAACTTTTATCTTATCTAGATGTCAGATTTGGACAAGCATATTTGAAAAGCCCTGAAATATCAGAAGGATCATAGAGATGTCCGAATATCAATCGCTGGAATCTGACTGAGACACAAAAGGTTTCTGTTTGGCCTCAAGTTTAAAGAAAAACTCTCGCACTTTAATCCAATATGAGAAACAGCTCCAATAAGTAAAAATCAGTTTTTCAATTAAGCAGAAATACTAACTGTTTTGTTTTATGTTGTGAGTTTCAGAAGATCACTGTTTTCTGCTAGAGCTCAGCAATAAAAGTCATGTGTTACCATGTCAGAAACTCTATCGCTTTCTGTCATTATTTTGGTGGGAATCAATGTCTTAGTGACAGTTTGATTTCTGTTAGTTTCTATTTAGGGAGAAACAAGAGTTTGTACCTTCAGCTGAAGGTCACTAACACCGAGGACTGTGATAAAACATTTTTATGGTGCTGCACCTCAGAGAATAAAAAAGAACAGAGCCTGAGGAAGTGTACTCATCAGTGACACCAAAAAGCTGGAGGATGTGGTAAGTCGCTGTTTTTGCTGCATTTACATGCACTGATTTTTAATCATTGATTATAACCTTTATACAGGATTATCAACACAAGCAGATCAGTTTCTGTTTAGAGTTCTTTTAAAAGCATCTGTCTGCTCATCGTACCAATGTTGATCTTGTCTCGGACAGAAACATTTGACTGAAACAGACCTGGCTGAAGAAACAAATGAAAGTGGGGCATTTCATGTTTTCAGGGGGGCACACTCTCTCAACAAACTCTTTTTCTCGTTCCTAAAAATGACTCTGGGACTACTCCTACGGTGCTTAGTGAATAAAATCTATCAATAAAATACCAATATATAAAAAATTCAGTTAAAAACGAATTATGTAGTGCTGTGTCTATTCTATTCACTCAAAAGTTCAGAATCTGTCTAAATGCATACATTGATAAATATGAACACTGATGTCAGGCTGAAGTAATCAGTCATCAATCAATTCATACTAGTAGAGCTCACTACTGCAGCACCACCTGTCAATGCACTGTTTGTCCAATTTCCATCAGGAAAACAATTCAGGATTATTGCATCTGAAACAGAGGTGGGTAGTAACTAAATACATCTACTCAGTTACATTTACTTGAGTAACTTTTTCTAAAAATGTACTTTTAGGAGTAGTTTTACAGCATTGTGCTTTTTGTTTTCACGCAAATAAAAACAATGATAAAGTTTCAGTACTCTTACATACTATAAAATTGATTTCACAAATCCTTAAAATAAAATAAAGATACTTAGAAGAGTGTTCATTTCACCTTTTTTTTTGTGCGTAATCAGGGTGTGTAATATATTTATTTTTATGTTATGTGAAACACCAGAATTTGCACAACACCTACTATTCTGTACAATTTTTTATCATTTGTGTTTTTATGATGATGGTTAGTAAGTATATCAGGTACTAATTACTTGAAATGCCTTTTTACCAAAGACTTTAACTACTGTCTCTTAAAGGATATGTATTTTACTTGAGTAAAACTATAAGGCAGTGCTAATTTTACTTAATGGCAATATTTTGATACTTTACCCACCTTTGTTCATAAACAATTAGACATACAGAAACAAATAGAAACTTTTTTGTATGTTTTTTTTTTTTTTTAAAGCTGCAAAGATGATCATCTGCCTGTTGGCAGTTACATACCTCCTAAAAATCCACTACAGCTCCAGCCCATTCAGCACACTACACTATGTTTAATTACTATATGAACATCTGTTCTTGTGTTACATTTTCAGTCTAAGGATGCTAGCCATTTAATTCTATTTAGAGAGTTAGGGATGTCGTCAAGCTGAAGAAGAAGTTTTTTCAAGCCTGGTGGGCTTGTAGGACTGTAGTGTTGCTGCCTGGGTGGTTGCCAAGGGAAAAACTCGGGCCTGGAAAAAGTTTGTAGAGGCCATGAAGAAAGATTATGGGATCCAGCACCTCTGGACAAATTAAGCAGTGCTTTGCTAACACTATTTTAAGGGGTAGTGGAGAGCTGCTGCCCTTAAAAGAGGACTTTGTTGGATGGTAGAAGGAAAAGGAACAGTAGACCAGCTCCACATTCTCTGCAGGGTTCTTGAGGTTGCTTGGGAGTTTACTCAACTGGTCCAAATGTGTTTTTTTTAAGCTGGAGAATGCAGGAGTGGTTCAATAGGGGCTATCCGGTCTCTGTACAAGCAGCGCAGACGTTTGGTCCACATTGCCAGCACTATGTCAGACTTGTTTCTGGTGCCTGTCGGATTCCAACATGGCTGCATTCTGTCATTCATAACTTTTACGGACAGGATTTCTAGGCGCAGCTCAGGGCCGGAGGGGATCTGGTTTGGGGATAAATATGCTTAGAAGCATATTTATTCAAATGATAAAGTTGAAATTTGAGGATTACATGCAACTTCAATTTTGTCCACGTCACTGTTACTCAGATGAAAAATTCTACGCAACTATTAAGCCTATTTATATTGCTGGTTACATATTTCAATACCTTCATGCTGATTGCATATCTTGTACCTCCAAAATAATATTCATCATAAATGGTTCATTTTTACCATTTATGATGAACTGAACAAGTCTTTCATTTGAGGAGTGACTTATTAAGCAAGAACTCTTTAAAAAATATCATCTTGGGATGTAAAATTAAATATAACAAAAAAATATCAGATGCATGTCACAGGAAAGATTATTGATTCTACAAATATGACAATTGCCTAAACGTTTGAGCTAAAAATGTATTCATTTATAATTAACTCGACCCATTTTAGTCAATTTTTCAGCTGGACTAAAATGCTGGAACACTAACCAGGAAAGAGCACAACCCATGTATTTTATCCTCTACAACGGCTACCTGGTTTAATTTTGTTTTTTACTGCATTTTTTTTCCCTTTAGGTTTCAAAGCCTTTTAATGATTGAACACTGTCTCAGCTAATGTAATTGTACATTAACCCAGTCCTCTTTGTAATCTGCAAATACAATGCTGCAAACCAAATGTGTTTAACTGGTAAATGGTCTGTATTTATATGGCGTTTTTTTTAAGTCAGGAGACTTGACCAAAGACTACACTGTTGACTGAAGCAGACAATGATTTTTCAGCTTTAGTTCCTGAATTTTGATACAGTTTTTATGGGGCCTTAAAAACTATTTTTAGTTATTTTTTTTATTCCTGGTTCTTAATTAAGACCTAAAAAGTTCAAGAATGGTTTTTAACCTCTTTTAGTTTTTGACCTGTTACATAAGTAATGTTTCTACTGCTGCAGGTTAATTTCTTTCATGTTTATTGTCTCATCAGTTCTAATCAGAGTCTGGAAAACAAACTGGAGGCCCTGCAATGCCATTTCACCTGGAACCTCTATCCTGGAAGTCGCAGTCTTACTGTTATACAGCACATCTTGGAGGACATCGCCACAGATGAGGGAAATGTCTGGCTGGGTCACATCTACAACCTGCAGGGGTTCATCCAGTACAAGCTGGGCTCCTCTGAAGAGGCCCTGAACATCTTCAGACGAGCCACTAAAATCTTCCAGCACCTTAAAAACTCTGATGAAGGTCCCTGGTTGATGGTGAACTTTGGGAATCTGGCTTGGCTGCACCATCTTATGGGTGAAGATGAGAAAACTCAGGATTATCTGTCAAAGGTTGAAGCTCTAATGAGAAAATACCCAGGTCCACCTGAGGAAGAGCCCCACCCAGAGGTCTGTGCTGAGAAGGCCTGGACCCTGATAAAGTTTGACAAAGAGAAGAAGCTGCAGGCTGCAGAGCTCTTCCAGAGAGCTGTGAGGATGCAACCAGACAACGTGGAATGGGAGACCAGCTGGGCCATATTATCAGCAGATCCCTTCAAAGCTTACATAAAGGACATGACTCCTGATCTCTTTGAAAAAGTTAAATCTGCCACAGAAAGAGATCCAGACAACTTGTATGTTGCTGCTCTTTATCTGGAGGCACGTGCTGCAAAAGGAGAGCAAATTCAAGATGAAGCAAAAGATTTAGCTGAAAAGATTCTAGAAAAGCCAATGCACGACTACTGTGGAATAGGCCGAGTAATGAAGCTGTATAGAAAGTACATATCTGTAGACGAAGCCATTAAAATAGCTGATGAGGCCTTGAAGAGACATCCTGATTCACGCTTTGTAAAGAGGTCTGCTGCAAAATGCTACACAAAGAAGGTATTTTCTCAGCGAGGTAACCCTGATCCTAGAGCAACCGACAAAGCAATCCGATTGTGGAGAGAAGTGATTGAGGTTTACCCTGAATGTTCCCCGAAAGAAAAAATATCTCTAGCTGACGTCCATACAAAGGTAGACATAGAGAAAGCTGACCAGATTTACAGAGAGCTTCTGGACAGAGAAGATCTGGATCCAGCAGAAAAACAGATGCTTTACTGTCGTTATGCAAAACATTTACAGTTTATTAAAAAGGACTACTGTAGTTCTACTACGTACCACATGATGGCAGCAGAGATTCAAAAGGAATCCAAATATAAAGAGAAAAGTGTCAAACAGCTGAAGAAGACCTTAAAAATTAACAAAGACCCTGAAATTCAGAGAAGGATCAGGGAGCTTCTGACCAGCCTGAAAAGTAGCCCAAAAAAAACGAGTCAGTGAATGACCAGAAACTGATTCTGAAGATCATATAGGATTATTGTGAAATGAACATATTTGAATTGAATTTGATTGAAAGAACAAATGTCTCATCATCGGGATTTGCTCCGTGTTGCTCCGTGATCGGAGGAAATGTTACTTGGCGCCGAACAGTGGTGAAAATTGGAAGTTCATTTTAATATAATACAACTCTGTGAATAGTTCCGTCTGAAATGAATGAAAATAGTTGTTTTAATGGTTATTGAGTCAAATATTTGGCGGTAATGTTTGATTTATCTAAAGGTTTTTATCTGTTACTGTGTAAATGGGTTTGGCTGGAATAAATTTTTTTTTTTTTTTTTTTTTTTTTT